CCATTCCAGGTCCCTTTCACAGATGCGAGTCGACCGGCATTAAATGCGGCCTCCCAGTAACTGCTCGGAGTTGAAATGACACGAAGGGCTCCATTTGCGCCATCTCGTCCCGGGGAAGTGCCAGCGCTAGGTGGGACATGCACCATCTTGGCAGCTCGTAACCGAGGGGGGTTTTCCCCCTCCTTCCTCACGGGAGGTTCTCTGATAGTAGCGACCAGAAGGGCAGCAGGCCGTAGAGGGCAAGTCTCCGGGGTCAGGTAGGGAGTGAATCGAGCGGTCGTGTAGGGGTGATCAGTCCCGTCAGGCTCTTCTCGATTGCGATCTCCTACGACTAGTGTCCTGCCAGTCTCACCCTGCGTAATCGTGGGATCACGTTCAAACCCTCTATGTGGATAACTTGCAGCCTCCCGCTCAAACGCTAGTCCTTCAGGCAAGGCGCTTAATTCCTCGTCTTCTTCTTGCGTAGAAGCATCCAGATTGATGCTAGATCCCTGTGGGACCTCAGTATCAGTGAGATGCTGAATAAGTTCTTCCTCGTTTAGTTCTTTTAAATCATCCTTGAGGTGTTGGACATCCCCAGAGAACGTCTCCTTCTCGTTGAAGATCACGTCTCTAGTGGAGATGACCTTGTTGGTCAACGGATTCCAGACCCTGTAGATGTTTGTCGAGTTATACCCGACCAGGTATCCTATCCACCCTCGGGGATTGAGTCGTTGTCGCCGATTCTTCTTTTTCAAAGCATCGGTCGTCATCGCGAAGGCTTTACAGCCATACACGCGTAGGTGTGTTTGATCGGGCTTACGCTCCGTGACAACCACGCCGTCCCTAAAGGCAAAGTAAGTGTAGAAATGCTCATATGGCGTCTTCCAATTGTAGATATACTTGGGTGTCCTATTGTATAGGTATACGGCAGCACGCCAGATCTCAACCCAAAGGAACGAAGGCAGCTTTGCTCCGATTCTCATCGCGCGAGCTTTCTCCTTGATCACACCCCCCGAGCGCTCTGCGCCGCCATTTTGACTTTGGGCATATGGCGCGGAGGGCTCTAGGCGCATCCCGTTTTTGATACTGAGGAAGTCACTTACCTGGTGACTATCCGGGATCTCGTTATCACACTCGATGACTTCGGGCCTACACTGGAGTTGTCGCTCTAGTGTTCTGAGTAGATGCTCAAGTGCACCGATAAGCGTTGGTGCAGTTCGATCTGGAAGATAATAGTCCCAGATATAGCCAGAGTAACGGTCGGTGACCAGCATAGCTGAAGTGTAGCCTGGATCCCCACTCATGTCGTGGAAATCAATAGCGAGTCGGATTCCAGCCTTCTCGGGTGGAACTCGTCTTTGTCGACGGACTTGGCGCTTCACCTTCGCCATTCCACAAGCATCACACTCAACCGTGGAGATCCCTCTGATCTTCACCCCCCGAGATTGGCCCACGAGGTGCTTGAGTGCTTCAGGCCCTGGGTGTCCAAGTCGAAGGTGCCAAAAGGTTTCGTCTCCACTGCGAGAAGGGCGTTTAGTCCAAGAATCATACTGTTTCCGTTTGGCTAGGAATGCTGCTGCTGTTGTTGACTTGTCGATATACTCCAGTACGTACTGGTCGAAATGATCCGTCAATGTGCAGAGGATTGAATCATCTTTCCTGCGGATTTGGTTGTTGTTCCCTTTGGTATCCCAGTAGTAGCCCCTTTTCCGCAACTGGCGGTATGACACAATATTGCATGCAAAGTTTATGCAATGAGCTACATCTCGCAATCTGAGAAGAGAGGGTCCTTGAGGTCCTTGAACGCGAATATCCACGTTCCCGTACCCGTGAATGGCCACTGGTGACTCCCCTGCGTAGACGAAGTCTCCAGACGGTGCCGGTCGGTAGTTGAGGAACCTGCATACTTCATTGAAGATATGGATTGTCGATCCAGAGTCAAGGATGGCAGAATGTCTGAGAGGGTAGGGGGCACAGTTGAAGGCTGCGATGAAGTTGTGCATCACTAGGTAGGTTGCCTTGACGTGTGCCATACCCCGCCCAAGTCACTCGTCCTGAGTGGTTCTGTCTCTACTTTTGGACAATCGTTTAACTTCCTCCACCAAACCAGTATCGTTCTTGAGACGGTCATTTATTAATCGTTGTATCGCTTGGTTGGGCTCCCATCCTTCGGCTTTCTGGGCTGGGAATAAGTACCAGCAGCCTTTCCAGTCATGGAAACCTAAACATCCTCGACAGGTAGGGCCATCCGGGTTCGGATTGACGGTCGTCTCTGCTCGTTTTCGTTTTGTTGATACTCCTCTTCCGCCGCCTCGTGCTCTACGCCCACGGCCTTGGCCTCGCGTATCTCGATGTGCATAGGATGTTTCGTCCGTCGCCCAATCTGAGGCGTCTCCTTGGACTTCAATAGTGTCATTATCGCGGTCTGTGATTGCAGGTCTGTCGTTCCTGGATGCAGCGCCGTATGTGGCTGCGAATGCGCCTCTCTTGATTCCTGACGGCCTTCCGCTAGCGTTGGCCATTTTGGCTTCGTATCGAATGTCGGCAGCGACCTCTCGATAGTTGAGGGAATTATTGAGGATTTGAGGACGTCGGTGTTGTCGGAAAGTAGATGCCCAGCTGGGGAGAACATGGTACATTGCTCGATTCAGGTCTTCTGCCCAGCATTGTGCGTCAAGAGCATCAGGGACTTTCTTGCTGATCGCTTCGGCCATGGTCGTCTCCCACTCCGTGACCCACTCGTTGAGTTTGTTGATCTTCGGGGCTGTATGTACGGCTTTGTGGTACTTGTCGCGCGCTTCGGGTCGAAGGCGTTCGTTGTATACCACTCCAGATCTTCGTAGCTCCTGATACCACTTGTCTAATCGGTCTCCCGTGACGCAGGATGTTTTCTGATACGTGGCCGAGACCGTCTTGAGGACAAACTCGACCAGCTTCTGCTCCTGTTTCTTCGTCTCTCTATACGCCGTTTCTTTCAGAGAGTAGATCCTGATATCATGCTCGTATTCCGCTCTTCCTTCAGACGTCAACTCTCCGATTCGCCGGGGCGGTACGTAATCTGAGCCGGGCGTCATTGTGCCACTATCGGGATCGTCCGGATCTGCTTGTCTGGGGTAGTCTCGGATTTCTGGAAGTTCTGGTCGCTGAGGCCATCGGATACGATCGGTCGGATCAATATACTGCCACAGGTCGTAGGCGTGCGCCAGTTTCTTGAATTCGTTGGACCAGGAGTCCCAATCCTCCGGAGACGCGTATCTAATGGTCCTCTCGGCGTGTTTGGCCGACATAGTGATAGAATGAACCGAAAGTCGTATGCATTTGGGTGCGCGGGTCGCTGAGATGCAATTGAGACTCTTAATTGTCAAACATTACGTGTATTCGGTTCATTGATGTGAATTGGTGTATTCATGTTGTGTTCAGTTGAAATCTACCCCTTAGAGGTTTTACCATTTCGGCTGTAATCTTAAAGTATCCCTGCTTGCACGTGAGACCCCAGCACCTGTTCAACACCAACTATGCCGTAAGAGGTACTTCCACAAACGACAGGGGTTTCCTCTTTCAGTGAAAGCGGGACGAACAATAAGGATGTAGGTTTTCAAGGCCACAACTAATTTTCATGGTCCAATACAGTTCTAACATATGATTTACTGTCTGAGGAAGCTAATGAAAATAAAGTCTCATTATTTTGAGATCTGTATTACTGTCGCTGCATACTGTTGAAGTTGACTACAGGTGGAGCATTACATTTCCTGTTATGGAATAGTTCAATTCACCGGGGAAAACACCTCGAAGAACAGAACAGAGACAGAACAAGAAGAACGAGCTTTTGGGGACTAGATTGACCCTCAAGTGTGAAAATTAACCTCATTTTAATTGGACATGAATCCTACTCGCGTATCCAACAATTCCCAGCCGCCAATCAAACAGCTGGTAGCCCCACCTTTGCACCGAGATCCTGCCTATTTTGATAACTAGGCCCCTACCTATCCTATCCTAGCTGCACGGCGGATTCGATATTAAATCCATTTGAACTTCCATATAAAAAAAACGCACTAATAAATAGATATATTGAATCCATTTAACTTAAATGGATTCATTATACCCCTAACTTTTTATCTATAAAATACAATTTAGTTAGATATATCGATTTATTACATTAAGGATAACGTACACGATAAGCGAAACCAACAAAAATCCCTCAACCTTACAACTCCCTATCTGATCAATTAATTTTCAACTATAAAATATGTTGCAATCTAATACTAAGGCTAATGTGCTTCTTGCACTTCAGGCCTATCAGGTAGACCCAAAGTTAAGTCTGCGACGAGCCGCATTTATTTATGACGTCCACTTTGATACCCTCTATGGCCGATACTGTGGCCTTCCAGCTCGCAGCGATTGTATTCCAAACTCACGGAAACTGAATGATCTGGAGGAACAAATTATAGTTTAGTATATCCTTGACCTAGATTCGCAAGGATTTCCTTTCCAGCACTGTAATGTTGAAGAAATGGCAAATCGACTGCTTGCTGACTGCAACGCATTACCAGTTGGCAAGCGCTGGGCTATCAATTTTATTAAGCGGCAACAAGAGCTCAAGACGCGTTTTTAGAGGAGATATGACTATTAGAGGGCCAAATGCGAAGATCTAATTGCTATTTGCAATTGGTTCAGGCTCGTATAGAACACAATCGCAAAGTACGGCATCCGATTAGATGATATCTGGAACTTTGATGAGACCGGCTTTATGATGGGCGTCATATCAAGCGGTATAGTGGTTACCAGCTAGGAGAGGCGTGGAAACCCAAAATCAGTCCAGCCTGGAAACCGAGAATGGGTTACAGCGATTCAAGTGATTAATGCAGAAGGTCAGGCAATCGATCCATTCATCGTGGTTGCAGGCCAATATCACCTTGCCAATTGGTACCGAGAAAGCAACCTCCCGGCCACTTAGGCTATTGCCACAACCCAAAATGGCTGGACGGGTAACGAGACGGGTCTTGAGTGGCTAAAGCACTTCAATCGATGTACAACCAACCGATCAACTGGTCCCTATCGTCTAATCCTTGATGGTCACGAAAGCCACCATTTGGCCGACTTCCAGAAGGATAAGTGACCATGATCATGTTTCGCTGATGATCTTCCCAATTAGCATCTCGACGACTTGCTCGAGATTTAACAAATTCGATTGCAGAAAGCCAACGGTTGAACTCCCAACGCATAAACCTGTTGACATGAGCAGTTGGCAATACCCAGAACGAACGATGTTGGCCGTGTAAGCTCGAAGCGACAGGGTTCAGGACTGTAAACAATTCCCAAGAAATTCGATACTCTTCTCGAACACCGAAGCTCGTGTTCGCAGAACTGTCTAGTGCGAACCCTATTCGAGCTTTCATAGCTTGAAAGACTTTGCGAAGCCGCTTGAGTTTGGGTGCAGATTTATCGGATGTTGCTAACCCGGCATTACGATATTGTCGAGCAGCTACGATCCAAGCATCGAGTAACGAAGGTGGGCATGTCAGTCCCTCCAGATTGGGCTCACTGAATAGTGCGCTGTCCTGTTTCGCCGCTGTCCAGAAAAGATCCTTGTTCACATTATACCGTTGAGCGTAAGCGATGCTCCCGTTGCGCAGTGGATGTGAGCGACGGGTCTCGACCCTAGCGCTTCCAGCTTGGCTAGTCAGACACGAGTTGAAATGTTCTGATGATGCCAACGGTTTATTGTCGCTATACTTCATTGAACGAATCCATGATTCCAAACACTTACTTTTATGCAAAAATGTACACTTTTCCGAGGTTGCCGTATCTTCGATGCCAACATCTATCCAGGTATTCGATAAATCGACTTTAGACCAGTCCAAAACGTGATGAAGGTGTTCAACGATCTTGGCACGACATTGCTGTAACGTTGTCGATTTTGCCTCCAGTTTGATGATTTTCGCACTCAAGACGATGAACATTCCGCGAAACATGGCAAGGTCAGACCGCTCAGCGCGTTGTTCCATGTAATGCCATATCTGCTGTAAGTACTCTTGCGGGAGATAATGGTGCATGTCCATCTTACTGCGGACCATTCCGCTACAAGCTTCCCTCTGACGGCTATATGCCTTGCTCTCCATATCGTCAAAAGAACGAGGATGGTGTTGAATCACGTCAGGTGGGCAGTAGTGGCGGATGGCGGGTAGAAGGAGTTCGTCGATCCACATCCGTCTTTCCTTTTTGGTCAGATATGTGGTCGTTTGACAGACGTGAGAGATCCCGGGAAAGAAGACATAAACTCCGAACTGAGGCGACTGCCGTCCGCTGCCCAGACGTAGGTGAGAGATAATATGCAAGGGCGTTCCCTGATGGTAAACATGCAAGTTGCTTGCCAAGTTCCTGGTAGGTGGTGAATGGTAGGATATGTATAGCCCACGATTGACGGACAAGCAGGTAGCCCAGGAAATGATACTATCCACGTCCCAAGTGCGCTGGACCTCGGAGAAGCTTCTCTCTGACATCTGAATGTCGAGTTTTGGACGGTTGTTCCCACCGCTCAAGATCGAGTACCAGTCCAGCTGACCATCGTCGCTTTCACCTGTTTCAGCATGAGGCGAGGCGCGACCGATTGAGTCTGGTACTGCAAGGCCCCGCCAGTAGTCGGCCATATCCAGTAGGCCATGTACTGGCGGCTCGTTGTTTTCAGTGTGTTCTACTTCGTTTTCTTCTGCCTCTTCTTCGCAGTCACAAGTATATCCCCAGTTTCTTTCCAAGAAACACTTGGCCGAGTGGACATCTGATTCCAGCGAGACGCTGATGCGTTCGTCTTCATCGCCGATCTCCACCTCGCTTCGCATATCTGAGACGTCCGATTCAGAACTTGAATCAGGTTCCCAGGCATTTTCAGGCTGAGATTCGAGATCAGACGTTGCTCCTTCTGCAGCTTCTTCTTCGTGTTGTCTCGTGTTTCTATCATTTCGTAGCCTACCCAAGTCATCTTCAAATGCTATATATGAACTTGTCGTAACGTCTCCTTTCTCGTATAATAAATCTACTATGCATCCAGCCTCATGAGGACTTGATATATTGCTGGTATGGCATAGCTCACAGTCTGAATCTACGCATATGTCATCGTCTCCGGCAGCGTGACTCATACGATTACACGGGATCCCGTTAGGGCTTGAGGGCAATACAATCTCTGCTGCGCCTTCCTGCGAAGTCGAGAATGATACCGTTACCGTATGCGATCCTGACGTGTTACTAAGATGCTGTAGGCACGGTGACGCTAGGTCGTTCCCCGCTATCGATTGCGGGGACTGTTCACCTCCGGCTACGACCGCGTCAATTGACGAGACGGGTGACTCGGCGCGATTTAACGAGCTATCTGACTCTGAAGCATCACCCAAAAGGTTTGCTTTATATGACTCGATGCCTTGTGAGGGTGTAGGCGGCAAAGCTTCTGTCTGTGGAGAAATATAGATTTGAAATCTGATGTCGCCGTGCGTTGGTTGCTTTTGAAGCCGTCTTTTAGCGCGCTTGGCGACGATATCTTGCTTAGCCTTGTCCTCTGGCGTGTCGTATTTTCGAGGTCGCCCGCGTTTCTTAGGTGTTCTCAACATTGTGGATATGATAGCCTATGATGGGCAGGATATGCTTTTGTATGGATGGGTATTAGGAAATGAGTTTCCCCTGCTCATGCTCACCTCGCTTAGCCACTGAGCTCCTGGGGGCATTCTCGCTTTTACTTTGGTAGAATGTATCAGTTACATGTTGATAGGGGATCGGCCGACGCAGCCCGCTACAACGTGGCCTAGTATAGGTTCAAGGGATCCTATTGTCTAGGACTATCAAACGAGCCTTGGGAGTCAAGATTGGATGGGTTCGAATAAGTTTCATTGAGGGCCCCCGATCCTTCGCCGAATGAGTGACTATGCGAACTGCATTTTCTCTCCTTCAAGTGTAACTTTTTCCACAATGATGCCGAATGAGTGACAAAGGCTCAGTTCCGTGTTCGTGATTACTGTTTCCATCTATCACATCTCACTGACCAGCTTCCCAAGTGATTAAGGGTTCAGCCCTATAATCGTCGTGCTAGAAACACGACTCTGGCAGTGACGACATTGGGGTATGCCCATGTCAATCTCCGGAGGTAAGACGCCAAGTCACCCCCAACGCCTACGCTTGCTGGAACTCGACGTAGGGTTTAGCTTCAACTACTCCAAACATTGTCTGTCAGGCACAATTATATCTTAATAGCTCTTATTAGCTCTTGCAATAATAAATAACTGGCTAAGTCATTCGACTCAGCAGGGATCAGAAATCGGAAACATGACGGGTTTCTGGTGTGCATTCTTGAGTATGTTTCAAATAAGAAATAGAAAAGGTTAGCAGCTCAAGAAGGCGCTTAACCGACTTGTTTTTATTGTAAAGCTTCGGCACTAGCATCAATCATTACATTACATCTCAAAGCGTGCTATACCCTGCATTTCTCAAAGATCAATAGAATCTGCTGGACGGGCAATGTTGACCCGCCAGTGGTGCTTGTTAATCGGATCCTTCTGGTAGATGTTGACCTCGAAGAACTTGTTATGGTCTTGGCACTTGTAGTTCTTGTACCTTGCTCAGATTTTAGCAACGCAACGTAGAATCTTCTATGAAGCTAGACAAGTAGGAAGGGTGGACTTACGTGTTTACCTTTTGGAAGTTGGCTTGGATCAGGTCATTCTCAATGACCTCGACGAAGTCACTCTCCGTACCATCGGTTGGGATAAAGTATCTCTTGGATTCAAGAGGACCGTAGTTAACCTGTTGAACAAGCTGGACTGCATACGACGGGCTGAGTTGAATAAGATCATGACTAGCTCCGTCGCCATTCTCCGGGGTGGATAATCTAGGAAACGAGGCCCATGACATGAATTTGTTGAACTTGGCTTGGTGTGAGAGATATTGAGGGCGATAAGGCTCAACGGCATCACAACAGAAGACCAAAGACATTTTGGCTGGGGATGGTGTTGTAAAAGTATGGAAACTTTTGTGAGAATTTTTAAGTACTGTCGATCTTGTGAACTGTAGAAGGAAATCCTCTCTCATTTATGTTTTTCTATGGCTAATGCCGTTCTTCGAAATTCAACCATGAGTCGCCTCCGGGGGCCCAACATGATTGGCCCGATCCGCCTGACGCAACAATCATCATCCTGCAGATTTTGAGGCCTAGCCAGGCACTTTGGCCAATCGGGAACTATTAAGTTAATCCGAGGTTTCTGATTCGCGGTAATCCAGCTCCCCATGATTGACGTATATAAGCTTCGTAGGTGAGCTAAAAATGTCTCTTTCTCTTTTTCCTCCTTCACGGTTGACCCTGGCGGTGCTTCCGCAGTCATTCATTGCATCCACTTCCTTGGCCAACTCCTTACGCTCCTTAATAACTTGTAGGGCCGTTGCATTCTCTCTTCAATCTGTTAGCCCTGTTTCAGTAGGTTCGGATATCACCAGTTTCAAGCCCAGGTAGGGGTTTCTATTTCTAGTCAGGACCAAACAGGGCTACCTGAACTAGAGAGGTCATCATTTCTAAATCACTATCACTATCACGATCGCGAAAGCCGACCTCCCCAGTTCATTGACCCCCGCTGGACCCAGTCCGGAAACGAGGGCCCTTTACCTCCATTTGATTGGGGATGTTCAAGTACTACACAGCCTGCTGGACAGAGCGCGCAAGGCGGAGAAGATTCACGGCCAGAATATGCTCCTGAAGACCAGGACCCCCTGATAAATGACGATAATCAAGATGGCTCAGCTGCTTCCAACGTTCTTCCGTGCCCAGAGTGTTTGACCCTCCTTGCGACCAGAAAGAAGTACACGTGAGTTCCTAATCTTGCAATTTCCTGACAACATCAAAGCTGACATATTTTAAAAGGGCTCATCTCAAGACACATACAAGACCATTCAAATGCAATGTGGCAGGTTGCAACGCAAGCTTTGCCCTAAGGAAAGATCGCGATCGTCATACAAAGGAACAGCATGGCTCAACTCGATGGTATTGTAACTTCCCAGGATGTACGTATAAACTGGCTAGAGATGGCGCACCGCGAAAAGCAAATGTAGAAAGGCACGTGAGAAGCTGGCATAAAGTACGAGATCCTGCGCCTTACTGCCAGCGTAGATAGCCGCTACGCCATTTACAATGAGACCACTGTCGTCTAATCGATATAATCCTGCAACGAGCCCGTGGAGTATACTTGAGCCCAAGTGGGAGTGGGATTTAGAACTGATTTCTCTTGAGGAAATGTGCATTAGATGCACCAAGACGTGCAGGCAAGTTTGCTCTTAACGATCCTTGCTGTAACGGTCCTCGCAGCGATGAGGAAATTGGCATCTCTTGAAGTTTGCGTTTCTGAAAATTGAAATGCTTAGTTAGCTGCTCCCTCGAAAACCCCTACTCTTCTATTCCTAATTGTCGTGTACCCTTAATTGTCACGTACCCCTGCTCACTTCGTAGGTGCCTGTCTATCTCCGGTTTATTCCCTTTCAATCCATACCATAGCGACTAATCTATTTCCATTTCGATTGATGATCTGCACCCGCGTCACATGCGTGTGAACGACGCGTCCTTACCTCTGTACCAACCAGAATTGCCATACTCTTGCCACCAAAATCCCACCCAGAAATGCATTTCCATTTTGCCTCAAAGTTAAGAACACGAAACGCGCCGTGCTTCTTCAAAGAAAGCCCGTGCCAACCATGTAGCTGACCGCGAGACGGAAAGACAGAAAAAGAAATAACTGGAGAAAGACACAAGCAAAGGACGTATCTATGATAAAAAGAGAGATAATAAAATTCATCAGTTGTAGGGGAGAACTTTATTTCTTGCAGGCAGCTTCAGGGCGCATCCATGGGCTTGCTGTGATTGGTGATGTGATCGAATAAGAATATTATGTCAGCTATTTTTGGTTGCTGGAGTAATTTAGAGTCACATCATGGCGGGGCCAACTTTTTCAATCCACTTCACAACATCAACAGCACAATCCACTACGAGATGCGACAAACTTCGCCATGAGAGACCCTACATTTATTCAAAACTGGATTAATGCAGTCGACCTGAATAAGGACATCCAAAATACCACAGACCCCAAAACTACGGGCAAGCGGGCATATCCAAGTCCTGAGCCTGATGAAATGAGTGACTTGACTCCAGAGAGGACCAAGAAGAGAAAAACAGCCAGCACCGATGACGACGATGGGATCGAGGACGTAGATGCTGAAACAACACCGAGAGCACTATTGATGCCTTCAAGACCAGCACCATCTCCGTCACCCTCGCCGACCAAGTCATCTGCCAGCATCAGATCAGCAAGTCTGAGATCCAGCTCTCAAGCTTCATCCCGCGCATCATCCTCGCGCCGCAAACTCTCGAACCTAAGCTTAGTAGAGCACGGTGTCCAGCGACAACAACTAAACGGTCCCAATACTCCTAACCTTCCGCAACCAATTGTCGATGCGCTCAAGACGATTCAGCGCCTGGAACGGGGCAAACACGTCTTTGCATCAACCTTAGACAGGAGCAGATTTACATCCCTACTGGACGTGAATGATCTAGATGATAGGGCTTTCGCCACGGATAGGGATGTTGGAAGCCATTTATCACCGGAAGATGTTGATGAAATCTTGGCTGATGCTGAGAGATGCTTCAAGATGGACCATGACGAGGGTGTTTGGAATGTAGAGGTACACCAATATTTACTAAAAAAGGTTTTGCGGAGATCTGGCTCCAGCCGCCTTGTCGATTTCACACTCTGGTAAGTTTAGTCCGACATTCCAAGCAATCTTCATTCACGTTGCTGACAGTGGTTTCTAGTACCACTGCCCCCATCATTCGCGACTATCTACCTCCCCGTACAGCGGAGAAAAGAGTAGACTTTTGCTTCTTTATTGACCCGAGTTGCGATCCCTCCTATAAACCAAGGATCGAAACCCTTGTAAAGTCGCTTCCCGAAATGAGTATCAGCCATACCTCCTACGGACCTTTGCGCGTACGCCCAACGACAGTAAGTCTGGAGACTAAGAGACCCGGGAATGATTTCGATGGTGCAATCCTACAAATCAGCGTTTGGCAATCAGCTCACTGGGTCATGCTGCGTTCACTACTGAGCCGAACATGGCCAGGGAAACAAGCCTGCGGACTGTCGAGGAAGGATTACGCCAACAAAGGCCTTAGGGAACTGGGCGCTTTGCACGGCATAGTGATTCAAGGTCATGACTGGATATACGTCGCGACATCTCCAGAGTTTGTCAATGAGGAGGGAAGGGAATCTACACGAACGGTAAGTTTTGGCGCCTTCGCAGGGGAGTTTGAGTTGTCAGGCTAATCGAATCAGCAACTTTGGCTTTATGAACCAATTGGGCGCACAAATACTGCGTTCGGCGTGCATAAAGTCTCTGCATTCCTTGAATTTTTAAAGACGTGGAGCCTACAGACCTATTGGCCATGGTATAAACGATATTTCCTTGATGATATTGGTACGGTTCCATCATCAGATCCGATTGCTACAAGTGCATACGAATAAATGTTATTGTTGATGGACGAACATGCGCTCATGGCTAAAGAGATCACCGATTTTCGTGCTCAGATCAACGACAGGGCTGTTTGTGAACTTGCCTTGGATGTATGGTACGGTACTACCTTGATCGAAGAGCATGAGAGCGTGCAACAGCAGCGACCTGTTTCCGACCCCTTCCTCCCCTCCCCTTCCTGTTCTTCGCATAGGGCTTGAGCGAAGAGGCCCTGCTGGGTTCTCAACTTTCCTTCCCTGCTTTGCCTAACTGACACATCGTGTTAGCCGATGAGTTCATCGCCGAGACGAACGACGAAGCTTTCGACGGGACACGTGCTCTTGACCTCCTACAACGCCGAGTTGTCCTTGACTATGGCAGCAAGAAGACAGGGTCGAGGCCTGCGAGCGAGGAGGACGATTATTATCCCGTCTTTCGACTCGATTTCGTCAGCGTCGTCGGTCTGCCTCGTCGGCCGATCTGTCGGTCTAGCCACTTCTTCGATAACATCACCATATCATTTCGACAGTGGAACGCCACGTACAGCGCCAAGCATGTGCAGGGCATCGATTTCGACCTGACTGGCCGCACCTTTCGCATAGCTACCGGCGCCACCAGGGAAGCCTGGTTTATCGTCATGCATCCAAGTCAGAGAGCTGCTGGTGCCAACAACCCCCGCCGGCGACACGATACAACACATACAAGGACTGCTATTGTGCAGGGTCGTGCTCTGATGCTTGCGTCGTACATCAAGGACATCTTCCTCCGAGGCGAGCTCCTTGGCGAAGGAGTTGAGCCGAGATGGACTCTCTGGGGCAAGGAGACGCAGATGATAGCCTTTGACAAGTGGGTCATATTCCAGACACTATTCATGGATGGCTGGACGGGGTTCCTCGAGAGGTTTTCTGCTCAAGGCGATGCTTTCTGGGCCTATCATCAACCTGCTTTCCATGCGTACGACTATGGTGCCAACATCAACATAGAGGTCAACGAAGGCATAGCCAACCTCGAAGAAGAATCCGTCATCAGATCAGCCTACTCTGACGAGCCGAGTGATGAGAGCGATGAGGGTGACGATGAACAGAGTAGCTTGCAGACAATGCAGCAAGTATGGGACCACGATGGAGAGATGCATCGCCGATATGACGTCGAAATAGAGGATGACGACGGCCTATTTGCGACAAACGGGCCAGATAACATCGCCCCCCGATCACCTTCCAACTTCAGCCCCGGGGGTACCGACGTGGATCATCGAGGCCGTGAGGATGAAGTCGACGCGAACGGGTACAACGGCGACGACGACAATGGTGACAATGAGCGGGAGTGGAGGTTTCTCGAGTGGATGGACGAGTCTGAAAACAGTTCTATGAGCCAGCCCACCGGGACACGGCTACAAGATGAGGGGAATGAAGACAATGGGCAGACCGATCCTCATCAGCAGTCAGTAGGCACAGGTGCTGAGGACAACGACGACATCCGTCAAAGGCAAACACCGGACGTCTCACCATCCAGTCTGCCTCCGTCGTCAGCATCAGAGGATCAGAGGGAATATGATGCGTTGTACAGTCCTGGTCTGATGCGATTGCGTGAAGCCCTTGAAGCGAAGTACAACCTCGACAACATCAGCCACGTCTCCTACGCCCTGGCTGTTGACGTCAATTGTACCGCAGCAAATAAGGATCCCGATGCAGAAGGAAGACCAGGTCCTCCTGTGTGTCTACTTGCCGACCGTAACCGGGTGGCTGGGGAGTTTTACGGGAGCAACTATACCTTCTACCCACTAGGATTTCACCCTGACAATTATTGTTTGCGTCGACAGCCTAATCAAGCATGTAGACCAGAAATGCGCCGCATTTCCACTTTTGCACCAATCAGAGTCTCCATTTTCCTACCTCGAATTTCCCCTCTGGAAATGCGCCGCATTTCCATTTGGGCCTGTAAACCGAGAACGCGAAATGCGCCGCGTTTCCGTCGGCTGACCCTTGTCAAGTACAACAGCTTGACTACAGACCTAAACAACAACATACATGAACGTTGTCTATTGAAATTCACATGCTCAAAATGACTGCCATTTACAACTGGCAGCTCACTATCACCATCAACTCGTTAGCAAAAAAATATTGGCCAAGACCTTGGCAGTTACCGCTGGCGTCGGCAAGCGCGGTGACATCTTACAACCAGCGTAACTTCTCACCCAATGGCTGACAAGCAAGTCTCACATTCACCAATCAAGCCCAGAAAACCCGGTGCGGGGTAAATAAAGCTGATCTCGAATTAGGCAGCAATGACGACGCCTACGTCGCTGGTGCCTCAGCTCAAATACTTCAGATGACAGACAACAGAACGTATCTTCAGCATTTGTTATTGACGTTGCTCATAGGTTCCTCCGAACTTTAATTTCCCAATACAATGAACGACGACTCTAACCTCCCTCTAAGCAACATTGTCAAATATCATGGAAAGTCAATTGCCTCACTTCTCGTCGAGATTGGGGGAAGCACATTGCTCCAGGAGAAATGTTTGAAGTTTATCAGAGAATTAGAGTGTCTCTCAATTGATGAGAACTCCAGTGAGGGAACTAGACTGATACGCCACAAGATTAATGCCTTCAAGAATCAAGACTATGTCGCTCTGTCTTACACTTGGGACAACTCTGACCACGAAAACCCAGAGAAGGGCAAATACAAGGTTCAAACTAGAGATCAACACCCCCGATTCTTGCCATCGCCGGTTCGAGACTGCGTTTTTGACCGTGTGTTTTTGTTCATGCGAGCAAAGGGTCTTCACAGACTTTGGATCGACAGACATTGTGTCAAGCAAAGGACCTGCAAGACAAAGGGTATATGTACCCATAACAGATGCAAGGAGAAACAGCGCGCAATTGAGACTATGGATCTGGTCTACAGTCTGAGCAAGCACCCTGTGGCCTTGCTCGGAAGGCCAATCGAGTGGGAGTATGAACTTGATTTATTGTATAAAATACTTACCGGAAAGCTTGTCAAGGAACTGAAGCAAACAAACCATTACGAGGTTCTGCAAGCATTGAGTTTACTGAGTAGGATAACGGAAGATCGTTGGTGGACCAGGGCCTGGACATTCCAAGAAGACTATCGGGGACGGCCAGATATGACGCTTCTCATCCGACACCCTCAATTCTTAGAAGCAAAGAAACGGGACTATAAGATTTTCTCAAATGTTCCTAATGAACTCTGTATCAAAGCCGTCTGCTTCAGCAAAGCCAGCACCAAATTTTGCCGTGCGGTCCAGGACGAATCAACACAACGGGACGACGTATCACATCATACGAAACATATCCTGGGAGTGGCAGGGAAATATACACTGTTATTAGACAGAACAATGCCTATGACTCCAAAAGTCATTGCTGACATCCAAAGACGAAGACTACGCGACGCTTGGGATAAGTTGGCAATCATCGCTAATTGTTGCCAATACGACATCCGAATGGATCATAAGCACATGAAAGAACCAAAGAGCCTCAGTATATCGATACTAGCGATGTGTATCCTTAATGGAGAGATTCTTTTGAATGAGTCCCGAGAGGATCGTTCCTCCATGCTTGAAAAGACCCTGTCCCAGTTCTTGGAAGAGCAAGCATTCAAAGGGTTTTGTGCTCCCGAGAGCCAGCGCGATCTCACTTTCAATAAAGGATGTCGGTTTGTTGGCGTTGAATTCACGCCAATTGGCATCAAGACAAAAGGTCATCTTTGGAAACTGGGTAGAATCATTGATACCTCAAGATTTCGTCTTCCATTGCCCGAGGCGAAGAAAAAGCCTTACTCTGTTGCCGAGGACGAACAACGACGCCTTACTCACCTTGCTGGTGAACTGAGGCGCTTGCATGAGACAACACTTGCTATGCATATTGAAAGGTTTCTGAACAATGGTCACACCGCGCCGGATGAAAATTTTGAGAATGAGACGTTTTCTAGGTGGTATATGCGTATTATGGCGGAAGAGCTGGTTGCGGCGATCGAGAAAGGCAAGCTACTCCGATTAGGGCGAATTTGGAACCCCCAGACAAACGAAAACCCATGCTCTGCTATATTTATCTGGGACGCCGATGTTACTAAAAATACCGACATCAAAGGCAAACCGTACAGGTGCAACAATTACAGCAAGAGAGACAGAAGACCAGAGTTTGCTTTCACCGCCTCGAGACCTCTGCAACGCGGTTTCCAAAAGCGTGGTACTAATGATCTAGATCACCACGTGTCACTCGAAGTTAAGTGGTTGTCGTTGCGGGATAAGTCTCCCAATGATCAACCTCAACTTTTCATCAAGCGCTGGCTTGTGGGATTATGTTTCTTCTATGATTTCCCAAGGACAGATGTGGTTTTCCCGTGGCCCTCCTCTTTCCATAGAGTCGGTCATTAATTCATTCCCATGTGTATTTAACTTCGTTGCCGGCTGCGGACGTAGCAGAAACAAATCAAACGTTGCGGAGCAACAATATTCTCGCGGAAGGACAAGGAAGAAAAACAATTTATTTGGTGGCATAGCAAGCACCATGGGCTCATCAGACACTTCGCCAAATCCCGACAGTCTGGAACTCTTGCACATCCACTACCAGCATCCAACATCAAGATCCATCCTATTACGGCGGGCAACTAGCAATCACTCTTTTTTCCAAGAGCTACATGCCCTATGTCATACAACCCGAACAGGAGTTAATTCGAACGCCTACTCTTCTATTCTTAATCGTTGTGTCCTCGTAATTGTCGCGTACCCTATCAAGAATTATCATCAGAAACGCATTGCGTTTCCTGTTTTTGACCAATGACCGTCTAGTATTTTCGCCCCATATTTTCCCCAATGGAAGCGCACTGCGTTTCTCGTACCGCACTAATGAAATCAGAAAACCTAAAACACGAAACGCGTCGCGTTTCTGTCGGTTGACCTTATTCCTGTATTCTCTTTGCAGTCTTCAACATGATCTGTCTTCGTAAGCCCAAGTCATGTATTCTCACAGACCAACTTACTAGTAATATCTGCACAGATTGGTAGTTCGAATGTAGGCAAAGTATCGCTACTACATCGAATAGCTATCTGGGTGGAGCTTTGGAGGAGCGCCGCGTCCTCAAAGGCAAACGAGACGAGGGTAAGTTGAGCCAGTGTCTTATTTACGCTTCGTGGGAGAGTGTATGTCCAGCCACACTCCAAAAGCCACTTCTGGCTGAAGAATGAAAGGGCATCGTAACATTACAGATCATCAACAATGGAAGCAATTCCTGCCAGAAGATCTAATTCAACATCCTGGGGGATTCCACGGGTTTTCCCATGGATGATCTTTAAGACCAGCTCAAAAGCTTCAGCGTCAAAGATGCCCCCGAAATTCCAATGATAAAGCCCATCTGCCTCTCTTGAAGCTTCTTTGAAGTTAGTTGAGAATAGCTTCGCAGCACGACGCGATGCAAATGTAAGATGCTTCTTTGAGCATTGAAAAGTGTTTCTCGATGCGTGATTCCGGGGAGTCAGGCAGAGGAGGTCCTGCTTAACTCCAAGGATGACTAGAGTGTCACCGTCGGGGTCAATTTGAATGCGCGTGATTGACATAATTGTTAGGAAGTAGTGGCAGTTAAAGAGTGAAGTTGAGGTGTTTGAGTAGGAAATTGAATGCCCAACCATGGCGGGTGTTACGACCCCCGGCGGTTACGTTACCCGTACTCCACATTTGTTCACCAATCAGGCTATGTCTTAGGGAAGATACGGCGCGTGCCGTAAGCCAATAAGAGTTCAGGCTCAAGTCTTACGATCCGACTCATGGCTCACGGGTAAGCTTGGCTTACTATCGCAAGTCACTCCTAAGTATATAAAACATATTTATTTGCAATTTATAAACTTTACTAACATACACGATAATCGAATGAAACAGACAAACGAGCGAAACAAAAATCTCAGCTGTCATAAGATAGATTATAATAAAAACGCAACAAATTATCTAATCAATTGAAATTAATTACCTTACTCATCTCCAGAGGCCTCAATACCCTCCTGACAGGTTCTCAGCCTTTAATAAGCATATTTCTCTTTACTGCCTTAGTAAGAGACTGAAGAGCTTCAAGAATTGACTCTGGATTTCATTCTAATGCGGCTAAATTTAGACCCTTTTCTGCCCTTCCTTGCTCCCAACTCCAAAGGCAGGTGTCCGTGTACCCTTCCACTCCTCCATTTTCTGTTCCCACATTCATATTCCCTCCTGACCACCGGCAACCAACCAAGTCAGTACAGTACTACTCCGTCCTGTTTTCTTTCTTGACACTCGAGTATTAGAAAATTAACTTACATCACCCTTTTTGCCTAAACCTAACGAACACCCCGTATTAGCCTAGCAGACATACGGAGGTTAATCAAGTAACGACCCACATGTCCTAGCCAAATACAGAAGCACTCTTTGACACCAGACGTCTTACCTTGCGCCTCTCTCATTTTTGTAATATTTTATTTTAACCCTGTGTCTCTCTGTCTTGCCAATGATGGCACTTGATTGAATGAAAGGCGCTTTTACCGAGATCTTTCAAGCCGCACAGTCCAGCTGTAAGGTGTTTCTTTGGTCTGGTCTACACTCTTACAAGACGTAGATATCGCGGCCCTCTCTTTCAAGGAGCAGCGCCACTGACTGGATGCTTTACGAGGTGGCTGACACTGTGACGTGGAACGTGCAAAGAGGCTTGAAAGGGGAAACCATATTTGAAATGGACCTGCTATATTCAAGGCGCCCACATCGTCGCCAGCCCATGTAACATCTCCTAACCTACAACCAGACCTAATGACGCAATGTCACATAAGCAACCAGCATTGGTTTGGGAGGTCCCATCCATTGCAAGGGGCGTTTTACGCCTTCCGGCACCACTATGTGTTACATCAGTGACCAAGCACTTCATTCTATAATTTCTGGCTACCACCACTGTTTTGAACCGTATCGAACGAACACAACGAAGTTGTGAGCAATAGCTCTGACTGAAATGAATTCATTGCTACAACGGATCTTGCCATCGTCACTTAGGCTTAGGAGTTAATCGAAGAATTTATGTCAAATCTACATGAAAATGCAGCTTGAGGTAGCAATTCGTCATTGGTATTTTCTCTCTCTCTCTCTCTTTTTTCTTTTTTTGGGGTCGGGGGTAGGACCTTTTCATACAGCATGCCATTCATCTAACAAACCCCCATTCCTTGTCTATCTGCTTACGCTACATCCTACTTTGTGCAATCATCTCGAGCAAGCAGGTACTACTAGGCTTCATTATGAAAATGATTCTAGTGTAGGGCATCCTGGATTAAATGATCCAAGTAGTCTTATCGATTCATGGTAATATTTCTGCGCGCTAAGTCTAGGGTTATTACATAAAATTGACGATATGCTGCATGTATAAGAAGCTTTTGGCTTTAAGTCTCCTTCTGAAAGGGAGTTAAATTTTCGAATATCCAATAGGTAATCGTTTGCCGATCGCAAACTTCCAAGCCTCACAAATCATCTCATCTCGCTTCTCTCGGTAGTTTCGGAAACTGCAGGGCTAAGCCAAGCATGAAAGGATGACCATAAATAGTAGTAGATCGCCAATGTAAGCAAGAGCTGGTGCAGGTCACCCATCGGCGGTGTGACCTTTGCCACGGATCGGAATTCGTTCTGTTTGATTAGACTGTAACTTCAAGCCATACTGCAATGATTTCTACGAGGGCTGCGAAGCACATTGTGAGGTACAACCATACTTCTGGTCTCCTGAACACGAGAAATCCTAACTCGCTCGACAGGGCGTGGGAGAATGGCGAATTTACCGGCTTTGAATTCACTTGCGAAGGGCATATCATACCTGTTCACAGGGTGATCATTTGCAGCCATTCCCCAGTATTTCACGCGGCATGCACTGGAAAATTGAAGGTATCATGCGCTTCTCCGTGGCATTATCGTAATAACTGAAACATTGTTCTAGGAGGCATCTACCCGATCATATAGCCTAGACTCTCATTCCCTGTCTATGGTACGACGGATGGTGGAGTTCTTCTATACTAGTGACTACACTGAAGAATCCGAGGAAGAAGATACAGGCACAGACACGATTCCCGTTCTATTGATTCATGCGGCAATGTTTACCTTGGCAGACAAGTACGACATTGAAGAGTTAAAAGTCCTCCTAGTACTACAGTCCAAAATCAACTCTACTAGAGTTGATTTTATTGACCCACTTTAAACCTAGTAGGGTTGATTATTGCCAGGATGTAGAGTTGATTTAACATTGTTCTATATACGGGAATAGTAGTGCTGATCAGAACAGGGGTTTATCCCAGAACACGAAGCGTCCTTTCGCGTAAAGTGCTATAGGGGGTATTGTTAGACATTACGCGTATTCGGTTCATTGATGTGAATTGGTGTATTCATGTTGTGTTCTGTTGAAATCTACCCCTTAGAGGTTTTACCATTTCGGCTGTAATCTTAAAGTATCCCTGCTTGCACGTGAGGCCCCAGCACCTGTTCAACAGGTATATCATACTACTAAATGGTCTCATTATTGATCGAAACATAATCATCATTTAGATCTTACTATTAAGGACCCAGTCACTATAACAATTACTATGACGGCTTCAAACTTGCAATCTGAACCATACAGTGCAATTTATCCCTACGTTCTTCTCTCTACATACCGCCTTCTCGTGTGCCAGGTTTGTAGGTTCGCCTCTGTAGTCGATGAGGTTGCTACGCATTTGAGAACACGACATCGCGATATACAGCCAGAGCATCGACAGGATCTGGTAGAGAAGATAAAACAGATGCCGAATATTCTCCACAGTCATACCCATCATAAAGCCAGTCTCATCAAAGTTATAGATATCATCTGATCGGATACCATACTTTGCGATTGTATTCTGTACGAGCCTGAACCAATCACGGATAACAGTCGGATCTTCACAACTGGCTCTCTGATTGTCATATCTCCGCTGAAAACGCGTCTTGAGGTCTGGTTGTCGCTTGACGAAATTGATAGCCCACCGCTTGCCGACTGGTGATGCATTGCGGTCAGCAAGCAGCCGATTTGCCATTTCTTCAGCACCAAGCATCCGGGGGGGAAACCCTCGCGCATCTAGGTCAAGGATAAACTGAACTATAGTTTGTTCCTCCAGATCAGATAGTTTCCGTTGCTTTGGAGTCCAATCGCTGCGAGCTCGGATGCCATTGCGGCGGCGACGTAGCCGCCGCTCATCAATCTGATAGGTAGATAGATGCAGCGCGTCGGATGCTTAATTTTGGATTATTTTGAATTGTTTGAAGGGCAAGAAGGGTTCTAGCTTCAGTAACTGGGTTTGACATCTTTGGTTGTTGAGAATTAATTGATCAGATAAAAAGTTAGATGTAAGAGGGAAAAATGCGGCGCATGCTTATCTGCGGCGTATGTATCAAAGCAACAGCCAGGAGAGAGATTGTCAAACACGTCCAGGATATCGCAGGCATGGGTGAGAGCCCAAAAGGGTTATTAATGTGGCTGAAGCCGCCGACAACTGACCCGCTCCTGTTCGTTCAACGACCTAATTATAGCCGACCAGCGGTTGGTTTGAGGTCGGTTTCAGGGCACCAGTTAGCCAGACGACCGACGAGGCAGCCATGATGGAGCGGGCGATGCATGTTATGCAGCAAAAGCAGCAGCAGTTCGAGCGGAAGGATAGAAAGTGCATTAAAGCCGCCGATACAGACAGACGCCAAGACGTGGTTAGAGCGCGTAGGGTGGGCCGATCATTTACAGGGTTTGGATCCAGATGCCATGAGGCAGTTGACGGAACTAGTTGGCGAGCAGGAGCACATTTTACAGCTGATCCACGACAGTGTACCGCGCGTCATACTGCAGGCATGAGCGATAGCCATACCCAGCACTGTTGGCACCCAGTCGTTATTCAAGGTGCAACGGAAGGAAGTAGACAAAAAGCCGCCATGGCCGTTTACTATTAGCTGCATGGTCCTGCCGGCGTAAATGGAAAAGGGAATGGCTACGTATTCTCATTCCTCACAAATAACAAATAAGAGGCCGCGACTACCTGGACCACTGCAGTCATCACTGAATGATGCTGTGTAAGGCTCGGAAGCTATCCATTCCGTCGATGATTAGCCGCCGAGAAGGGTGGGGTAATAGAATATGTAGGACTAAGAGAGGCAACAAGCTCGAATACTAGGCGTCAATGATGACCTGACCGGACACCAAGAGTTAAGTGGGGGGAGCTGAGGAGTCATGATAAGCAGCCCATCCAGCTCCGCCCCTCAATGCTAGATGCTTTTAGTCAGGATCGGCCCGCCCCGTGGTAGATCTTCTTGGACTGCACTCAATGGAAACGCTTCGCTAGCCTGGCCGTTCGTGTCGGCAGATGTGCTTGACTTTCGAGGCACAGGCGGAAGGATAGATGTCTTAAAATAACCTCGGACAAAGGTCAAAGAGCAAAAGCTGCTATTACTTACATCGCATCGATATAGTTTTGCTACAGTTCGGTCGTTGCAGCTAACTGCCACAGTTAGGTATGGTTCGGCTAGCTGGGAGCGGAGGAAACAGGACTACAATCGCTAACTAACGTGTCACCATCACACTGGATCAGGTGCCGCATTAAGCCCTTGCAATGATAAAAACCAACGATCAGGGCATGCTGGTTGGTCAACCTGATTGAAATAGCAATATTGAATGCACCACTTTCGTGTCGGAGCATCTGCAGGTTGGGCTTCAGCCCTCGTATTCGGCCGTTGGTTATGGCGGCTATGGTTGTGACGTGGACGCCTATCACCAATCATGCGTGGAAGATGCTCAGCTTGCGGCAACATCACAAGGGGAGGCGCTTATTTCACGACACCCCTTCAATCATGTAGCCTGGTGGGAACGTGTTTTCTTCTGTATACGAATTTACATTGCTCTGGTTCACTTCTTGACTTTTCTTTGTATTCCAAGTCCCCGGTTCGAGAGCCGTTACTTATTATATAACTGATCAATCCCTCTCAATAAGCACATTATTTTCTAGTGGAGTTCTATTATGAATCATGGCGAACAACCAGGACTACACGGTTGGCTGGATCTGCGCCCTCACCGTCGAGTTCGTTGCTGCTCAGGCTTTCCTCGACGAAAAACACAAAGACCCTCCAGAAGTGGCCCAGAACGATAACAACAATTATGCTTTGGGCAGGATCGGAAACCATAACATTGTGATTGCTGTCTTCCCCGATGGAGAGTACGGTACGACCGTTGCTGCGACCGTCGCAAGAGACATGCTCCATAGCTTCCCGAATATTCGCATCGGACTCTTGGTCGGTATCGGCGGTGGTGCGCCAAGTCCAAATCGTGACATACGTCTCGGCGACATTGTGGTCAGTAGCAGAGGCGAGGGGAAAGGCGGGGTGTTTCAATATGATTTTGGCAAGACAATCCAGAATCAGTCTTTCCAAGAAACAGAGTTCTTAGACCAACCACCGACAGTACTGCGGACAGCAGTTAGTGCCCTCAAGGCCAAGTACGAATTGGAAGGCCACCGGTTCAATGAGGACGTGGACATGGCATTAAAGAAGATCAAAAAGCGAAAGAAGTACTCCTGCCCACCTGCTAGCAGCGACAGACTGTACCGATCTGATATTGCACACCTTTCAAACTCGTCCGAAGGCTGTAGTGTAGTATGCGGCGACGACCCATCACATATACTGCCACGGACCGAACGGAACGAGGAAGACGACAACCCAGCTATCCACTACGGACTGATTGCTAGTGCCAATCAACTGATGAGGGATGCCCTTATACGAAACAAGTTAGCAGCGGAAAAGGGCGTCCTTTGCTTCGAGATGGAGGCGGCAGGCCTGATGAATCACTTCCCTTGCCTAATTATCCGCGGTATATGTGACTACGCGGATTCCCACAAGAATAAGGAATGGCAAGGCTTCGCGGCTATGGTGGCAGCTGCGTATGCGAAAGATCTTTTGCGTCAGATCCCGCAAAACAAGGTCGAGGTGGAGAAGAAGATCAGCGAAGTCATCTCAGGTCAGTTCAGCTAGTTTGCAAGTAATTGCAATGACCAACAAATCAAATGAAGTTCTCGACATATATGACTCCTTTCGTGCTTGATTTTGATACCGCGACCGCTAATATGTTCTCTCCTTAACAGGTTTACAAGATGCAGTCTCAGCTACGTCCCGGAAGGCTGACACAATCATCCGTCATCAACAGACGCAGGAGCACAAGGAGATTCTTAACTGGCTCACTCCAGTCGACTACGGACTTCAGCAAAGTGACTATCTGGGAAGGCAACAGCCGGGAACCGGTCAATGGCTCCTTGCATCGACGGAGTTCCAGGGCTGGCTGGCCACAAGCAAACAGACCTTGTTTTGTCCAGGCATCCCAGGGGCTGGAAAAACAATCCTAACCTCAATCGTGGTTGATTACCTCGACTCAAGATTTCGTCATGACTCGAAGACCGGCATGGCATACATCTACTGCAACTTCCGGCGCCAGAACGAGCAGAGCATTGACCACTTGCTGGCGAGCGTCTTGAAGCAGTTGACTCCATGCCAGCCTTCCATACTAGACAGCGTCAAAAGTCTCTATGATCAGCACAAGGCCAAACGAACGCGGCCATTCCTCGACGAAATCGTAGGATTCCTTCAGTCCGTGGTGGCGATGCATTCGAGAGTATTCATCATTGTTGACGCGCTTGACGAATGCCAAGCATCTAATAGTTGCCGGGCGAGGTTCCTCTCGGAACTTTTCGACCTTCAGAAAAGGCACGGGGCAAACATTCTTGCGACATCGAGGTTCATTCCGGAGATTATTGACCGTTTTGGGGCCAGCGTGTCACTGGAGATTCGTGCAAGCACCGAAGATGTGGCGAGATACCTCGAAAACCATGTACAAGACCTACCATCTATCGTTCAGGAGGACCCGCAGCTACAAGCAGAGATTACGACGGGTATCTCAGAAGCTGTCGATGGAATGTGCGTTCTCATCTGATAGGAAACGTAGCGTAGCCACTAACGATTCGTAGGTTTCTCTTGGCACAGCTTTACCTCGGTTTGCTTGCCGACAAACTGACACCAAACGATATCCGAAGCGCAATGAGAACCTTCCAGGAGCAGGGCCAAGGGTCAAGCCAAGATCAGGATGTTCAAGTCCTAGATCATGCGTACCGACGAGTCATGGAGAGAATCAACGAACAGATGGCAGGAAAGAAGGAACTTGCGTTCAAGGTCCTGTCTTGGATTACGTTTGCGAAGAGACAGCTTACTACGTCAGAACTTCAACATGCCCTCGGAACAAAGGCGGGAAAGTCTGAGTTTGACCATGGAGACCTAACTCCTATCGAAGACATTGTCTCTGTATGTGCTGGACTGGTAACTGTGGACAAAGAAAGTGACATCATTCGGCTTGTCCACTACACGACGCAGCAATATTTTAATGACAAACAGAACGAGTTTTTTCCGAACGCGGAATCTAATATTATCACGACCTGCGTAACCTACTTATCATTTGAAGTTTTTGGGAGCGGATTGTGTGGGACGCATCAAGAAATTGACGAGCGGATGAGATTGTATCCGTTCTATCACTACTCTGCACACCACTGGGGCGATCACGCTCGTCAGGTTCCAAGTCTATGCCAAGAGGTTATTGATTTTCTTGGCTCCGGAACAAAGTTCGAGGCATACATACAGTCACTGTTGCATAGAAACTACGCTTGTTTTCAGGGCTGGCAATTTGATGAATTTGTGCCAAGAAAATGACTGGGCTGCACTTAACGGCATACCTGGGGATCAACGATGGCGTGCAAATACTGAGCGTTAGTAACCCCATAAATCATCGAGATATATACGGTCGGACCGCATTGTCGTATGCAGCAATGAAAGGAAATGCGGCGACTGTCAAGCTTCTACTTGGCATGGAAAATGTCAATGTTGATGCTCGAGATGAGGAGGGTCGAACACCGCTCTCGTGGGCCGCTTGGAGCGGCCATGAGGCTATTGTTAAGCTACTCCTCGACACGGGAAAAGTCGATATTGATGCTCGAGATGGGGAGGGCCGAACACCGTTCTTGTGGGCCGCCGATGAAGGCCATGAGTCTGTCGCCAAGTTGCTTCTTGATAGAGAAAAGGAAGTCGATGTTGATGCTCGAGATAAGTCAGGTCTAACACCGCTCTCGTGGGCCGCTTGGAGTGGCCATGAGCCTATTGTTAGGCTACTCCTTGACACGGAGAAAGTCGATGTTGATACTCGAGATGAGGAGGGTCAGACGCCGCTCTTGCAGGCCACTGAGAGAGGTCATAAGGCTATTGTTAAGTTACTCCTCGGCACGGAGAAAGTCGATGTTGATGCTCGAGATGAAGAGGGCCGGACACCGCTCTCGTGGGCCGCTGAGAGAGGCCATGAGGCTATTGTTAAGTTACTAGTAGAGGACCGAGCCGTTGTCGACTTAAAGGATAAGGGCGGCCGGACAGTGCTGAGCTATGCTACATCGCAAGGCCATGTGGCCATCGCTCAGCAGCTAGCAACACAGTGACGTCACGTAACTGAGCCACCGAATGCTATCTCGACTCAACTCATGAGAAAACGTCCTACATCTATATCGTTCCTCCCACTTTCAGTGAAAGTGGTCGTTTCGCGCTGTCATTGGCTTAGGACCCCTGTAATTCCCCACAATCATCTTTCACCTGAAAGAAGGCTCTCAATAAAACACTCCTGATCAAATGTCAAGTTAAAGTGGGGTTCTGGCCATTTGATTGGCTGACTCCCTCAGGCATAATGGCCAATGGCCAATGGAGTTGGTGTTACCCATCGATGAATTTAAGTTTAAGCTGTTTGAACGAGCTGAACGCGTCGACGCGCGTGGAACGTGTCTCCTAGCCATCTACCCCCTCATAGATACAGACTTTGCTAACTTGGAAGGTTCCATCATCATTGTCGTCTCAAGTCACTCACAGACATCCGACAAGTTGAGGTGACCAATATCATGAAAAGGCCGTTCGAAAGTACTCAGACCAGTCATGTCGAGGCCGCTCAACAGAGCGAGTCGACTCCATGGCTCCAACATAATCGCTGGCCCGAGCTGTTCCGTAATAGGCCACTCGATATTATTGCCGCCTCGGTCCAGCAACCAGGTCCCCTGCGAAGTAGAAGTTATTTACTCGGCCAGTGCCGGGGATCCCCCTTATAGAGCTCTGCTCAAACCGAAGCTCAGCTGCGGATTATTCTCCAAGGCCTAGACCTTATGTTCGATAGGGCAAGAGCTACACTCGTCGCAATAAAGCAGAGAGTTTATGGCTAGTCTAAGAAGTTTTTGTGGCTTATAACTAGTATTTCTCTTCAAAAGCATATGAACCGCTGTAAACGATAAGTCTCATATTATGGTTGGGCGATACTATGACAGGATCATGGCTGCATATGCTTCGGTTACTGGCATATGTGGCTTGAGCGGAACTTTCCACTCCCAGATAATCAAATGTCAGCAATATCGACTTGTAGTGCAGTACACGCACCAATTGAATAGCCAGAATCTACGGCCTAAATAGAGATGGCGATAAAGAGCTGCGAAGGGCTGAATTACTAAACACGAAGGGGTACCATCCTGGCACCAAGACCAAAACAGAAGTCATATCATGATGATGTGAGGACATCATGATGATGGTGATGTTGTTGATACCACCCAGAGGCGCTGTTCCTTATTAAAGGCACGAGCGTTAAACTACAAGATCATTCCATCACTCGCGGGGCACGTACTTTATCGACAAAAGGATACACGGGTATTTCCGACAACGACAGCAACTTTAAAGCAAATATAGACGCTTGATGCTGTTGTATAGCGCCTTCAAAGCCTTGCTTAGCAGGCTATGAGTAATTTCACGTAGTATTCGTCTGCTGTGTAACACTAGAAATGCGAGCTGATAAAACTTCAATCTAGAGTTACTATAGTTTACGGGATTAATGCGCTATTTATCCAGCTCACATGTGATTTCGAACTTTACATGGAATACGGCTGGGTCGTCACATCATTAAGTCGGCCGCTATGTGATATGGAGGTCTCCGATGATATCACAAGCCGTGGATTCTCGGAGTCTCCGAGCAAAGTTGCAAGATTACTACAAATGAAATCTTTCAAACATCGCAATGTTGTCACAATATCATCATTGACAGCCCACTCTAATCTGTGACATTTGGCTCCGTCTGAGACACAGCCATAGACAGTTTAATTAGTTTCGTCTCCGAACATTTGCATTAGTGTCTGGTGGCAGCATGGCAGCTGAAGCCGTTCTCTGAAGTTTTTGCCTCTGTCGGACCATTTAATCTCGTGTTGCTGCAGAGTCTGGTAGTTCTGTCTGGAAATTCCAATCTCCTCCAAACGTCCCGAGGTATAACCATCCAAGAGACCAACTGCACTTACATAGCCCTCACTATGGTTGGTTGGGGTTCATTCAATCTTGGCGGCATCATTGGCGGCTCGCCAGTAGCCGAGAAAAGTGGTATAGCCGCAGTAAGTCGAATAGTAGGCCACATGGAGACCTGGTGGCTCGCCTCGAACGGCTCGGTTCAAGGGGCATTCTGGTACGACAAACCCCCAGCGACTTGGGAGAAATACGAGCTTGCAGCAGCCGAGAGTGCCATATCCTCTGCAGGTATTGCTGCTGTCTCCCGCATTCCGGGCCATATGGAAGTGTGGTAGATTGGGCCTTCGGGATCCATAGAGGGCTGCTGGTGGTCCGATGCTCCTGGCGGTGGCTGGAACAGGTACCAGCTTGCTCCAGCTGGCAGCGCAGTCCAAACTTCTACTATATACGCCCAATCTCGTAACCCCAACCACATACATATTTGGTAGGTTAATCCCCAAGGGTCTATCGAGGAAGCCATTTGGGAGCTGAATACAAACTGGAAGAGATCGCAAGTGGCTAGCCCCGGTGCAGCTGCCCTGTAGTGATGTTGTACAGTATGTACAACCGTGTTGTACGTACGTACGTACAGAAAGAAAAAGTACGTACACGTACTATGTACGTACAATGGGATCCATAATACTCCTAATAGGGGAATTTGTGGGTCATATTGTACAAATACGGGGGGCTGTACAAAAACTCCGTTGGCTGAGCAGCTCAACACACTCTGCCATTCTCTCCCGATTGAAGGTATCGCCAAAAAGATGGCGCCCACCCAAGCTAACACTGCCTTCGTTTGGCGACAGTTTATCGACCTCGGCCGCTCTAACCCCAAGAAAAGCAAGCGATACAGATGCCGTCACTGCCAAAAGGATTTTGCAGCGACCTCTGTTGGGAGGCCGAAAGAGCATCTCGCTACGTGTGAGAAATGGCAAGCCAAGCAGCGACAAGAGCGTCAAGCTCAAGATAACGCTGGCTATCTTCCCTCATATTCAGAAGCTATACAAAAGAAGATAACCGAGGTCGGAATTCAGCATATCTCGCAGGACGAGAGTCACAGTTACGCCTATGATGCCGCCGCTGCTGTAATCGCCGGCGGTCGGCCCTTCAGCCTCTTCGAGAGCCGCCGTTGGCGTTATTTCTTCACTCGCATTAAGCCTGGCTGGAAGCCTCCTAGCCGCGCCGCCATCACGAGAATTCTTCCCGACTTCTATCAGGAACTCTATGACGAGGTTTTCAAACGCATTACCAGCTCAGAATGGTTCAACATCATATTTGACGCTTCCGATAATGTCTCGGGTCACAGAATCGTTAATATCTCGGTACAGCTACCAGACGGCCCAGCCTTCTACTGGAAAACGTTTGACACGGGAGACGAACAGCACACAGCGGAGAACTGGGTGAAGCTGATATGGGGAGAAATGCAGCAACTGTGCGGCGGTGAGCTCTCCAGAATCAATTCTATCTGTACAGATACCGAAAACACGATGCGCTCTGTACACGGCTTGCTAGGGAGATTCCCAGAGCTCTCACATATCAACTTCTCTCTATGCGATTCTCACGGCCTTCAGCTTCTAATTAAAGATATCCTTCTTCTTCCATTCTTTGAGGATCTCTGTAATAACGTCAGCACCCTTCTCAAGTTCTTCTCACGGTCTAAATTACAATTGCAAAGATTGAGAATGTGCCAACGCACAAGGTGGAACGGAGTAACTCGCGCGCTGATCAGAAGGTACCGGTAAATCGTTAGCTGTGACTGAGAAATCGATATACTAACTCGCTCGTTCCGAATAGTATAATTACACGCTGGGGTTCTCAGTACAATTCTTTCTTCTCCCTCCTCCGTTCTCGAGACCCTGCCAGAGACTGGTCTATTCGAAAAGATGTACGGGATGAGCTGCGATCTCAAGATTGCCCCGTTCTCCTGCCGGAAGCGGTTCGAATCATCAAAGACAACAGCTTCTGGCTAAATCTGGAGGCTGCGATCGCTGTGCTAAAACCCGTGAACGAATTTCAACATGCTTCCGAGGCTGATGGGGCGGGAATCGCACACGTTGTAAATCGCTGGCTGCAAATCAAAAGCAAATGGTCTGAGATGGGAGAGGCTGATCAGTTTCCTGATATTCCGTGGGACGACATTGACGCTATATTCAAAGCCCGGCTCGATAAGCA